TCCACTTGTGCCTTCTTTCTTCCTAATCGTTATGGCGAGTGTCTGGGATCAGACTAAAAACCTCCTTATGATGGTGGGTGAAGGCTTGCTGGCAAGTGGAAGAGGCAATGCAATTATTCAATACTGTTCTTTGTGTTTATAGTCGTTACTTTTATTAATGTAATAAGTAATGAGTAGTCAATAATCTATTAATTATTAGAATGAGTGTATGATATGGTGAATATTATTAGTGTTTCTTCAGTAGTAGTGGTGACGATGAGTCTCCGCGTCTGTTCTTGATGGCCTGAAGCGTGATTCCCCTTCTTCTTGGGTTTCGTAGTCGTGGTGGGAAACTCGTGGTGTTAGGGGAAGCAAGCTAGTGCCGTCTTGGTAGCCGGCGAAGGGGTGAGCTGTAGTGTACGAAGTGGTGGAAGAACATCCGTGTGACGTCACGGCTTGTGTCCGTAAGCTCCAAGGTAGTGGTGAGTTGGTGCACGTTCGTGTACTCAATGCGAGCGTAACTCGCGGTGTACAGGTAAAGGTAAGAAATAGCTTCGACGTTACTTACATGCGGGCGTAAATCGCGATGTAAGGTGTTATGCAAGAACGAACGTTGGCGTTGCTTGCACGTGGTGGCGGAAACTGCGTGAAGTGGTAGCAGTAACCGCGTGGCGAGGTAATATGCAAGAACGAGAGCCGGCGTTACTTGCATTCAGTGGCGGGAACTGTGTAATGAGCAGAGTGGCGATCCTGTCGTGCAGCTCCTTAAATATTCTCGGACGAAATCGATGCGACGATAGCGCATTGATGGCTGTTACTATGCCGCTATTTTTCATGACGTCAATTGCGCATAGCTTTTTCGGGGTTCATTTGTTAATATTTCTCGGAATTATAGTCGTATGTTCGAGTTTTTCGGTTAGAAGCATTCGTTGAGTCCATTGGCCAATGTTTACCAAACAATGCTGCACGCGCTCATACCTCTCCCACTTTGTATTCCGCTTAAAACTGTTGTAATCCGTAAGAGCGAGAGATTATTGAATTGGCAGTTCGAGCCATAAAATAAACATTAAATTTCGAACATTTGTTCCTTCGAGCCGGAATATCTCATCGCCAGATAGCAGATTCAAGGAAACAAGCCGGACCTGCAAACATCAGGTCTGCTTGGCACAGTGGAAAGCTGGACATGCAAATATCGGGTCTGCCGGACATAGTGCAAAGCGACGGACCTGCAAACATCGGGTGTGCCGAATACAGAGGAAAATGATATATTCACATAACACGTGATACTACTTTACGAATCGCTGACCGTTTGATCTCAAACAGGTGATCCGGGACTCCCTCTCCTTCAGTTCATGACGAATAAATAAGATGTAAAAAGGGTCACAATGGATGTCAAGGGTATCAAGACACCCAAGGCCACCAAATCAGCGGGGGCCCGAATTCTTCGCAGCGCCACATCCCGACAGATAAACAATGAATTTTCAATGAAAATAAAAACACAGCCGAAGCGCATTGAACTATTACAGACCCTCGCTGAACAATATGCCATACCTGGACCCAACGTCACAGTTGAAGAACTCTCGGACTCCTACTCAGTAGCAGAGGAAATTCACAAGGCCTTTGCTAAGGAACACGCTTATTTAGAGATCATCTGGCCAGCGGATCAAGAAGATCACGAATATCTTTCATCAGATGTCTTCAAAAGAGAAACCGTTCAATACACTATCACGTAAGGTATGATCAGCATGCTTCGCCAACGATACATGGTCGGATGCAACGACCACCAGGCCTCACTACCTCTAATAAAAACAACCGGGAGCCGTCGACCATTGCTAAAACTCCTCAAATTCTCCGGAAAACAAGAAGACTGGGATGGATTCAGCGAACTCTTCACGGCACTCGTCCTGGACAACAAAGACATCACTAAGGTAGAAAACTTACATTACTTCTACACCTCATTAGACGAGTCAACTCTGCCATTAATAAAGGGACTCGCGTTAACTTACGAATCACTAATGCCAGCATGGGGGCTGCTTAATCAGCAGTACAAAAACCAACGTCTTTTAATCCGTTCCGGCCTTCTTAAACTATTCCTTCCGGTAAAACCAGTAAAAGGTGACGCAGACACCCTAGAGAACCTGGCCAAAAGATCAGAAGAGGCAATTAAGCACCTCCTCTCCTTGAATATCGTGCCAAACTTGTGGAACTATATCCTGGTACATTAAATTTCACTCTACTTTGACCGCGCCACCGTGGAGCTATGGGAAGCTTTACTCTGGACATCCACTACCTTTCCGCGATTAGACCAATTAAAAACATTCCTCACAACTAGGGTGAGATCACTATGACAAGGTAAAGAGGTGGCTCAACCTTTTGCGCGCTCACCGAAACCTGCACCGATGCAATCCTTGTCCTCAAAAAAAAGTCCTCCAACTGTTACCAATTATCTGTAAAGAAACATCTGTCAAGTCCTTCTTCAGTTCGAGATAAAAAAAGGCTGTTCATATTGCGATGGAGAACGCCGAATCTACTTTTGTGATCAATTCAGGAGTAAGTCCGATGCAGACAGACGAAGAATTGTAGCGGAGAGGATTCTGCGTGAGCTACTTATATCATCACGACGTTAGCCTTTGCGGTTCACACTCGAAATGCAAGAAAATGCCAAGAATTCCACAACACAATGCTACACAACGCGCTTTTTAACGAACCCCTTTAGAGAAAGGGCCATAACCCCATCGTCCAGCTGAGATGAGGGTGTAATCGTCGAGATACCATGTAGTACATACCATGATACTACATAATACACCACCGCATTACTAGCCACAGTCTTGTTTTTAAATACTGTCAAATTTTACTACTGTATATGTTCGTATTCTGACACAGGTTCAACATTCACATTTATCAACGTAAAACTCACTAGGTAACTTAACATTCCACTATTTATATGGTGGAACGTGGGGGATCTCAATCACACAATGAAAGCTCCTCCAGCTTCCAATGATCAATGTCAACATTATCTGCAACATCATAGTATGCTCAACCGGACAGCTCCATAACCATATTAAGAGTAGTATTTAATAATTTTAGCACATCAGCATCAGATCTTCACTCAACGATATCATCCATTTAGACCCAACTTGAATCCAGACGCATCAGGGGTTTTAATCTGGATCAGAAAACAACGATGCCGTTGTCGCTACCAATGCCACTAAAAAGTATTGTTCGGGATTGAAGCAGTCCCATAAATTTCAAACAAAAGAAAGGTCATATACGCAGTCCGGCGTACCGCATGTGCGCCTAGACTGAACGCGCGTGCAGCAAGGCTGACCATCACGTGCGCCTAGGCTGATCCGCACGTGCGGACCGAGGCGGGTACTCGAGCAAAATGTTTACAAACAAAACTCGGCAAGTCCGAGCAAGTTTACGATTTGAAATATAATTTACTGCCAGCACTCACAAAAAAGGACGCCTTCGAAACTTCTAGAAGCTTCATTTTCTCACGCCAAAGGAAAATTTCTGGAAGGGACGCGCATCGACACTGTTGCCGGCGCTGAAGACGCCGCATGCACATTTAAACGCAACGCGCCATGAGGCGACGCTCACTCGTAAACTCACTTCGCTCTCCATCAAGCGTAACTGCCGGTCAGTGCATAGTATACTGTAAAGACGCCGCGTGGCCACATTTTCGACAACATAAGCTCATTCGTAAAATCACTTCGCTCTC